CTACGACTACGACTACGACTACGACTACGACTACGACTACGACTACGACTACGACTACGACTACGACTACGACTACGACTACGACTACGACTACGACTACGACTACGACTACGACTACGACTACGACTACGACTACGACTACGACTACGACTACGACTACGACTACGACTACGACTACGACTACGACTACGACTACGACTACGACTACGACTACGACTACGACTACGACTACGACTACTACTACTACTACTACTACTACTACTACTACTACTACTACTAATTACCCTCCCCCTTTCTTCCTCCCTGGACAACTCCCCTTCATCCTTATTTTCCGGATCCTGTTCCTCCACCTCATGCTGCTAGTTTTCCAGAACGGCGTCGATGATGATAGCGCCGTATATTGTCGTGAACTCCGTGAGCATACCACTAGTGCTTGACTTGCCTCGAATAGTTTCTGAAATTCTGAAACCCTACCTTTGACGTTAATGCTTTCATGAGTGTGCCTCTACCCACGGTTCATAATGCTCGACAATGCTCCATGTGATGTACACTTGCATCATCATACAGCGTAATCGTTACACCTGTACGTGTTACCTGTTTGCTCTTGCTCATCAATGTAAGCCATGGCTTCTTCGCCGCAGGGGGCGAAGGGACAGGAGGCCGCCACTGCTCCGCAGCTGGCTGTTGTGGCCAGGCCTACCCTTTCACGTCCACTTCGCGTCGCGGTCGTGTTCCTCAGGTTCGCTGCCGACCTCGAGGAGCGGCTCGGGGCCTTGCTAAGACCCGCCGAGCAGGTCGTGTTCGTGACTGCGATGGTCGCCGCGATCGTGGGCGGGGTCTTTAGCGAAGAGGAGGAGGAGGAGGAGGAGGAGGAGGAGGAGGAGGAGGAGAGGAGGCGGCGCCAGGCAAAAGAGCGCAAGAGGGCGAGGAGCCCGGAAGGTAGGCGGAAGGCGAGGAGGCGAAGAAGGACGTGGCGACCAGCAGCACCACCACGACTGCGACCAGCAGCACCACCGTGGCGACAAGCAGCAACACCCTCTCGCGCTCTTCTACCAGCTCGTCGCCGTGGGCACGCAGGGCTGTCCCGTCGCGTTGGACCTCCCCTTCGGGGCCGCCTCGCCGCGCGTGCCGCGCAGGGTGTGCGGTGCCAGCGCTCTGGGGCGACGGCGACGACGACGACGACGACGACGACGACGACGACGACGACGACGACGGCGACGACGACGACGACGACGACGACGACGACGACGACGGCCCCCCCCCCCGAAGGCCGAGGCTGCGGCGCCGCGCCTGGCCCAGGGCAGCCCGCAGGGAGCCGGAGCGCTGCGCTCCGCGCAGCAGGCTCGCGGCGCGGGCGCGCAGCTCGGCGGGCGAGGGGACCGGCGGCGCGGCCTCGGGCGCGTCGTCGCCGTGGCCGTGGCGGGAGGGGGGGGAAGGAGGAGCAGGAGGAGGAGGAGGAGGAGGAGGAGGAGGAGGAGGAGGAGGAGGGAGGAGGGAGGAGGAGGAGAGGAGGGAGGAGGAGGAGGACGACGAGGAGGAGGAGGAGGAGGAGGAGGACGGAGGAGGAGGAGGAGGACGAGGACGAGGAGGAGGAGGAGGAGGAGGAGGAGGAGGAGGAGGAGGAGCTCGGCTTCCCCGTTTTGCCACCGCCAGAGTCGCCTCGAGATCCTGGTCAGAACGCACCCTGGGAGAGGTCTGGGGAGCAGCTGTATGGGTACCTGTTGGTTTCCCGAGGCGAGGAGGGGACTCTATGTAGGGGGGGGAGAAGGGAGGAGGGAGGAGGAGGGAGAAAGGGGGAGAGGGAGGAGGGAGAGAGGGAGGTCGCCAGTTGATGCCCCTGTGGCCTGCGCAAGAACAGAGAGAGGAGGGGATGGGGCTCAGAATCGACGGGTGCGGATCTCTCGCGCCGCGCTCGTGCAGAAGCGCGAGCCCCTGCGTGCGCACCTTCGGCCACCGGCCAAGCGCTGCGATGAGGGGAGGGGGGGAGGGACGGGGGAGGAACACCCTGGAGTGGACAGCACCAAGGCCCTCCACTCGAGCTCAGGCTGGGGGGGAGCGAAGCAGCCGCAGCCGCGGCCCTCGGGGGCGTCGTCGTCGTCGTCGTCGTCGTCGTCGTCGTCGTCGTCGTCGTCGTCGTCGTCGTCGTCGTCGTCGTCGTCGTCGTCGTCGTCGTCGTCGTCGTCGTCGTCGTCGTCGTCGTCGTCGTGGCCGTGGCCGTGGCCGTGGCCGTGGCCGTGGCCGTGACCGAAAGGGGGGAGGAGACCAGAGGGGGAAAAGATGCTCATACCGCTACCCTCGCCTCGTCTTCCCCTGTTTGGGCATCCTGGGAGGCCCTCGTTACCACTGCTGGACTCGCCTCGAGATCCTGGAGTAGCCAATATCGGTACCTTTTCGGTTTCCCTGGGAGGGGACTCAGAGTAGGGGAGGGAGAGGGGAGAGGGAGGAGGAGGGAGAAAGGGGGAGGGGGAGGCAGGAGGAGGGAGAGAGGGAGGAGGAGGAGGTGGAAAAGAGATGAGGGGGGACGAGGGGGGACGAGGGGGGGAGGGAGGCAGAGGGGGGAGGAGGGGGAGGGAGGAGGGAGGGGGAGGAGGGGGAGAGGGAGGAGGAGGGAGGGAGGAGGGGAAAAGAGAAGAGCAGGGAAGGGGGGCTCAGAGTCGAGGGTGCGGATCTCTCGCGCCACGCTCGTGCACAAGCGGCGAGCCCCTGCGTGCGCACCTCGGCCACCGCCGAGCGCTGCGAGAGGGGGAGGGGGAGGGGAAGGATGGGGGGCAGGGAGGGGGGAGGGAGACCCTGGAGTGGACACCGCCGAGGCCCTCCACCCGAGCTCGGGCTGGAGGGGGGGGCGAAGCAGAGGGGAAGCCTCCTGCTGCGTGGCCGACCTGGCAGGCGCAGAGCCGCCCCTGCCGCCACGGTGGGCCGGGCGGCGGCGGCGGCGGCTCCGGAGGCCTGCCAAGGGGCCGGCTCCCACGAGGCCGGTGAGCGGGGGGGGCGCGGGCGATGGGCGAGGCGCTGCGCCTCTGGCCACAGCAGGAGCTCGCCATCGCTGCGGCGGTCAGCCGAGTTAGGGGGCCGGATGCGAGCCCTACCCCTACCCCCCACGAGTTCTGAGAAGGAGGGTGGGGTTCACTTGGCTCGGGAGCTCCCCAACGAAGTGAACCCCACCCTCCCCCTCAGAAATCGTGGGGGGTAGGGGTAGGGTTCGCATCTGGCCCCCTACAGGTGGGCCCGCGGCACCTCCCGCGGGCGTGCGCCCGTCGGTCAGGCAGGAGAGGCGACGACAGCCTGGCCGCCGAGGCCGTCGTGCCCCCCGCCCCGTGCCGTGTTCTGAAGGCAGGCTTCGGCTCACAACAGAACCGGCTGGCCAAGCCACGTCACGTGCGACTTGGGGCGTGATGCGGCAAAGTCCTCCCCTTGCCCCTCCCTGTCGTTAACAATCCCCCCCCTCCTCGTCCTCAAACCAGGCTCTGCCCCTGGTCTCGTACTCCTTACACCATCCTTGACATCCTCCCCCTTCTCCCCTGCCCTTTCCTTCCTCCCCCACCCTCCCCCAAAAACCAGAAGCCGCCTGAGACATTCGCACAATAATATCCTGCTGACAATTTCGCGCGGTACTTCGCGGCGCATTTCGTGCTGAAGCTCGCGCAGAGCAGAATTAGTTTCGCGCGGCATGACGTGCCTCATTTCGTGCCGCATTTTGGCATGTGTGTTCGGGCGGAAATAGTTTCGCGTCCGTGCGGAAAGAATGCCGTGTTCGTGCGACCGTAAGTTCGCGCTCGTGCAGGAATAAAGTCGTGTTCGGGCAGCACTCGCTTTACATCTGTACGGCAATCAAGCGGCGACCTGCCAAAGCCTACAACAGACATGTAACGCGACGCGCAGACATGACAAAGCACGACGGCCAACAACCACGGGATCGAAGGAAAGCAACGCGCGGCCAACGGACCCCATCCGCGCGCGAAAGCGCCACCTACGCAGTCAAAGCAACCCCCTTGATGCTCGGAAAGAACTTCGTACACGCCCCCTTTTCGTCACCAAGGGCTGGACACCGATGGCTTCCAACGACCCACACGTACAGGTCACGAGCCGATCGCCGATCACACTCTCGCGCTGGAGCTGGACCCCCAGGCCCGCGCGATCGCATCGAGGTGGCCCGCGCCCGAGCGCTCCCCCACTGCAGGATCCTCTCCGAGGGGTCTCTAGCTGTCGGTGCGCTGGCCCCAGCGGCCGCCGCGGCCGCGGGCTGCTTGCGGCACCCCGGCGGGGCCTCCACGTGCAGGCGGCTGGCCCAGCTGCCGACGAGGGGCGCTTCCTCGGCGGCGGCGGTACCCTCTGGGGGCGACTCGCGGCTCCGCGCGCGCGAAGCCGCCCGGTGAGAAGCCGCAGCCGCGTGAACGCGTGGCGACCCCGCCCCGGTCGCCTGGCTGCCGAAGCGCCACCGCCGCCCTGCAGCTCTTCACTCGCACTCGCCGCGGACGGCCCGACGCGTCGGGCGCGGGCCTGGCGCCTCGCCCCCCACGCCCGCAGGGCCGCAAGCGCCTCCGAGAGGGCGTCGCGTCAGTGCAAGCCCGCAGCGGCCTACAGCAACCGTGACGCAGGACCTGCGGCCTGTCGACGCAGGCAGTGCAGGCACGCGGGCACCGAACCACAGGGCTGGGCAGGCCCGCCCTGTGCGGCCTACCGCAGGGCGCAGCCCTGTGCTGCCGCTGCCGCGGCGCCCTCTCAGAGGCCGCAGGCGCCTCCGAGAAGGCACCGCGGCAGCGGCAGCGGGCGCAGACCCTTGCAGGCGCCGCCCTCGCGCCGAGCCCCACGACGGGCCGCGCGGAGCGGCCCCAGAGGAGCGCGCAGAAGCCCGCGCGGCGGCGGGGCGGCGGCGCCGGCCGCGAGGTCGCTGGCAGCACGAGCCGACGAAGGGCGCGACGCGAACCGTCTCGGCAGCGGCGGGGGCCGCAGTGGGTCCGGACATCGCTGCCCTCCATCAACCCTCGGGCGGGCAGGTCACT